TTCAATATTTTTTCTGCTCTCGTTCCTGGAGTCTATTCAGAAAGTATAAATAACACGAAAATCAAAGAAAAGAACAGTAGTAGAACAGTAAATCTCCAGAGCTCAACCATGTATGTGAATTCTCATTCTTCTACTCACACACACACAGACACAAAATTACAATTGCACTACGCTGTGAACTATCTGTCCAAAAAGCCAAGTAACCAACTCAGAATTCTATCATTCTTTTGTACAACTTTCTCATACTTAAACTCAGTTATCACATATTGCTGAACTCTAAACATTTTAAACAAGAAAGTTCTTTTAACACATATTTACAATCTCACATCAGTACAAGGGGAACTACTTCCTCTTTCTTAACTTTGTTTCACTTTGTTGTACTCGCTTGTTTTTCAATATTGTTGATTACTGAATAATCTCTTGTTATTCCTTCTTTGTGTTTCTTTGTAAAATTTAAATGTGATGTGCTAATCAAAAACTCAACCTTCACCAAAGCCTTCTTAACAATTTTATATCAAATCTCATTAGCACGCCACACACTCCATTCAAGTGATTTCCTTTGAGTTTAATTTATCCTTTCATCAAGGACCATAACACATGAACATTTTCAAAGACTTTTAGTTTTAGCATTCTGCTATCACTTGATTGTATTATATTATTATTTTTGATTCAGTAAATACTATTGGTCAAAAAAGATTTCAATGCATTTTCTATGTAATAGTTTCTTTTGACAATAATTTTTGTACAAACAAAATACCAAAGTGGATCACAGAAGCATTGAATAATTTTCTGATTTCTGATTGGCTAATATATGTGAAAAACATTACGTCTATGTAGTTGTGTTCAAAGTCAATTTACTGCCAAAATCTGGTTATGTATTCTCGAGCCTACTATGTGATTCACATTAATTATAAATACTTTGACACATCTTCATTCTTCCTCTTTTCTCTTTTTTGTGCAGAGATCGTGTTTGTCCCTTAGGGTAAAATGCTATGAAACATCATGACACACACACACACACATGCATGCACACATGTATGTATGAACATTGCACATCTATGAACATCTATTCACTCCTTTAACCACAAGGACACATAAACTTATCAACTTCTAACAGTGAAATTTTCATCAGCAAACAGCATGCCGCCTGAGCATATATAACTTTCCACAATTCATCTCAACCAATTGCATCCCTCTTCAATGAATGAATTTGAGCGGCAAGACCCTTCAATATATATTTATGCTGATTTTCAACTCGGAAATGTTAAACTAAAAAATACATTTTTACTACCAAATACTACTTCTCGATTTTCAAGTGAAGACTACCATTTTATCTCACTCAACAAGTTTCTTTGAACTCATCTTACATCAAACTTCTCAATCTACAATACCTTCTTACATGAACATTCCTTTCATTGAGATTGACTGTGAACTGAAATCTTTTCCTCGAGTTCAGAAAAAAAAAAAAAAAAAACTTTTCTTTGGAAGTCTTAAGCAATTCAAACTAACAGTTAAAAGTAAATAACTCCTGCTAAACAGGTATAGAAATTGTGAGTAACTTTAATTCTCTTACAAGTAACAATACATCTTCTTACTAAAGTTCTCCAAACTTACACACTTTTTAATACACAGCACAGTTTATCAACAGGAACATTTTCCTCACTCAAAATTCCAAGGACAAGTAAGTTTCAGCATTTCAAACACAACTGTACAATTGTTGTTATGCATATATAAATTGCATTTACTTATGCAACTTTTCTTCTTGAATGTTATTCTTCTTGTTTGCTTATTTATTGTTAGCATATTTGTAAAGTAAAAATAGTACGGGTTGAATCGAGGCCATTCAACCTGCTAGAGACTTACCATTTGCATGTGGTTACTTTGCTCCTTTTCCTGGATTACTAATCTAACGAAAATTTTTAGCGCTACCAAAAAAACTATACCTATTCCTCATTTTTGGATTACCAACAATTGCTTTCCCCTGGACTTTTTAACATCTGCATTTCTTTGAATTGTATTATTATTTTATTTTCCAATAATAAACTTTGGCATATTTTTATCTGAATTCCTCATCCTTGTTATCTTTGCCTTGACCTGTGTCAGATCATTGTGTTTTGTTTTTTTTAAATGTTTGTGAGTATTGTCTGATATGGACATCCAGGTACCCTCAACACAATATGCAATAGGCAACAATAAACTATAGAAGAAGTCAAAATTGATCGCTTACCTTTTAAAAAGTTCCAAAAAAATTCTTTGGCCGCCACTTACTTACTTACATAAAGGCAATTTGATGTATGTAGGTCCTTGCAAACAATTATTTTATTTCATGGGTGACTTTTTGCAATTAATTTTGATTATTCCCAAATTTATTTCCAAGTTATAAAAACTGTTATTGTACAAAAAAATTAATTGCAAAAAATCACGTAAAAAAAGGTTGAAAACAATCACAACAATGAAAACTTGGGAATCCAAAATTTCATGATTGCACGTCCAGATACAGCTCAGAATGCTTTTAATTTGCTCACGGAATCGGCCTGGTTGCAAAATGGTATGATGTGTTGGGCTACGGCCTCCAAGAGTAAAGTTGAAAAAGTGTGACCCACTGACATTCGCATTTAACCCATTCGTGTGGATGCTTTTTCCTTTTTCTATAAGAAAACTTTTTTTTTTTTTAAATGAAACCAGCTATTTTCTATTGTTTGAGTATGAACTAAAGATCCATATTGTAAAATCAACAAAAATTATTTTCATGAATTTAACTTTGTGATTGTACCCCCCAGATCATTTAGCAGATCATAAGTGGAAAGAAGCATCACCAATGATTGTAGAAAACTGTGTTCAATATGTCTTTGGATGACTGCTTCTCAAACTATTATGAACAATTTCTACAAAGTAATTAAATTCTTCAGAATTTCTTTCGATTCCTCCAAAGTTGTAGTTATATTTTATTTTTACTTAATGTTTCATCACTCTCCACTATTTTGTTTGGACCTCAGATTTTATCACCACTGTTTCTTCCAGTGAAATAACAACACACATCCTTACAAAATGTGAACCAATCAACTAGTGTTTGCTTCAAGCAACTGTAGTCACTTGGTTAAAAATTAAAATCAATAACTCATCTTTTCTTAGCCCAATAAAGTGAAATGAATTAACAAAATTTTCATTTTTGTGCATGTGAATTATGTCCCATGTTTTATGACTATACCCCCCCCCTGCTTCCAAATCTAGATTTGTTTTTTATTAATATTTTTTATTGGAGATTTCTTCAAAGGGTCATTTATGGGGTCTATTGAGCATCAAATTGTCGCTTCCTGACATTTCTACCGATGTAAATGACATTAAGTCGAACTTGTGTCATAGGCTGTCGCCGTGGCAGGTGGTTAAATAGCGGATGAGATTGTAGAATTTAGTTGCTTGCTTTCTCCTTCGCACTGGGATTTAACTCGTAAATTTTAGAGTGCTGTTTGGCAGGAGGCTGTCCTTTTACAACCCGGCTACAGAACTTCTTTCATTACACACACACACAAAAGGACAGAGACGGAATTTTGATGTCTGCGGAAATTGGGCAATTTAAAAAGTAAAAACCGATCTGATCATGTGTCACATTTCATTACAATTTGAATTCATGTATCTAGGTAGGTGATGTAGGTACCTCTAATTAATTTGCTGAAAAAAAGAGCATCATAGCATGAAAAAGGCCTCAAACTTGATAAAAACAATTTTTTATCGTCAAAATGTTTATTTAAGAAGATTAAAGAACAAAGTATTTTTATTAAATTTTTTAATCCTTATACGATCAGATAGTACCTGGGCGACATGTGGAAAGTGTTACACGCATGCAAATATATGGATACACATAGCGCTTGAAAGCTGTTTTCTTAAATTTGCACGTGTAAGGGACACAATCACTTGTTTAACGTTTTACGCGGGAAATTTAATAATAGATTATGAATTGAAACGGCATGCATTTTTAACCGAAAGATTTGTATATATATTTTCCATTTCTTTTCTCGAAATTGTTGTCATTTTTATTTCTATTGTTAGGTTACGACTAGTTTTAATTAAACCAAACCCATTAAATCGTTTGCTCACTCGTCGTAGTCGTATGTTTTTTCTTTTCTTTTTCCGGTTTTCAAACTTTATTCAAATTAATTCAGCATCTCTCCTCCGCCATTATTATTATTATTTATTTATTTTTTTTTTTTTTAGAAAAAAAAGAACATGGTAAATTTGCTTTAAGCACAATGATATGCTTCTTTAGTAGTATTTTCTTAGTATTTTGTAAATAATAAGCAAGAAACACTCATGATCATTGGGACGTTGGAAGATTCTTTTAACAATTTGAAATTGTTGAATGTAAAATTTTCTAAATGATTGATTGCTTTTGTTTAAAAAAAAAGCTGATTATTAACTTTTGTTTTCATTAATAAAGAATATCTTTTTTTAAATTTCTTTTAGTGTTTTGGGCGCTGGAATTGTCTGCGTTTTAGTCTTATTTTAATTTCAATCTTCCTTTTAGTTGTAAATCAAATGTAAGATTTGTTGCCTTGTTGAAAAGGAAATAAGTGAAGTTTGTTTTTGAGGAAGAAAAACTTGATTTCAACACCAGACTGATTGATTTCTGTTGGTGTGTGTAAAAATGTTTGTTAAAAAAGAAAATTAAATTGTAATGTCACATATTCTCAAAATATTGAATTGTTCATCTGAATTGTGAAAGAAATAAGCACAAATGTTTTCACCGCTAGGAAACGTCCATCTAAAAACTAACGCTAGCAGTGAAACTGAAACACCAACAGAAATCAAAATGGTTATTTAGAGGTAGAATATATATTTTTAATTTTTTCAACAATGTAAGCGAATGTTTTTAATTTCCACAATTTATTTTTTTTCTAATGTTAATCAATTAAACAGTGAAAATTTGCATAACTCTTTCTGAAAGGGAAAATAAGTAATAATTCCATATGTAAAAAAAAAAAATTATCCCTGTGAATATTTAGAACATGTAAGTAATTAAAAATAATCTTCCCTTGTATCTGCTAAACTTTTCTGTCATTGTTATCTCATTCAATATCTTTGAAATTCTAAAGGTTTGTTCTAAAGTCTAATCCATTCTTGTTTTTCATGTGTAACAGGTTTTAAAAATGAAGCGTTCGATTATAACTTCCCAAGAACAAAAAAACTGTGAAGAATGGTTGTCCACCAGAAACAGGAAAAAAGTGAGGAATTTTCTGGTTCTTATTTTCTTTTTTTTTTTTTTTCTGATTTAATCAGGTCTACTATTTGATATCTTTTAGGCTGTGGTAATATTCATGCACATAATTCAGTAATTCTCTTGAAAATTAACGTTTTATAAGGACTAAAAAAAGACATCGTGATCGGTTGCTTATTCAATTTTGGTTAAGTAATTTACTTCTAAAATTCTCAAAGCTATTAACATTGCATTTTATGAAATTAAACTTGTTAGTTTTTTTTTTTTTTTTTTTTTTTTTCAAGCACTTAATCGTGAACTGTAATAATTTTCTGCAATATTTAAATAAAAATCAAATTTTTTTAATTATCAACAAAAAATGAATGCTAATGTTCTTGACAAACCAAAGAATATATAATTGTTTAGGGTTAGTTTGTCTTGGAATATGGTTTAAAAGAACACTTAAATGTTTATCGTCAGTATAAAAATATTTTTGGGCCAATAATTTCTGAACTGACATCAGAAATAATATTGACATTTAAATCATTTAATGATCTACGTTATTTGATTTATAAATTTTGAAAATTATGGTTGTCCTTTTGATTAAAGATCGTGTAGTCTTTAATTTTCGACAGTTCTTCACTAGAAATCCAGAGTTAAATAATTGAAATATAAATAATGACTAAATATGACAGTTTGAAAAATTGCACTCCCACTTTTATTCTTTTTCCCCATTCAGATTTGCCCTTCTGTTGCAAGCAAAACTTTGATTTCACATAAACTTGCATCTTTCCCATTCACTTCAAAGTATAAGTTGACACAGAATTCATCACCTTCAAAACAGCTGATTATACCTCAGCATCAGATGAGCATTCTCAATTTTGTTAAGAAGGATAAAATATCTCAGCATCAAGGTAAAATGAAATTACAATTGTTTAATGATTTGTTCCTCTATTCTGTACTTAAATTATTTTCTCTCAGATAATAATTTATTTTGCTCAAGCATCCAGGCTATGAGAAATAATTTCTGCTTTTATGAAAATTAATTTGGCTAAAATAATGTTATTGTTATTAAAAATATTAGTGATGGTGTTAGTGATTTTAATTTTCTTTATTGTCACAAACTGAGAAAGAAACAACAGAAAGCAGCAACGGTAGGTCATAACAAAAACATAGTGGATGGTAAGTTAATGACTTAGTAAAAAGCACTATGGCAATATGACTCACAAAATAGATTATAAGATCAAGATCATAAATTGTTCATAAAATCCGTTAAAATAGGCTCCAAATGAAATTATGCAAAGACACTTTCTGATTGGCTGGAAAATATATATTATTATGTGTTCTCAACTAAGTCCGAATAACATTGACCTAGTTCTTGACCTGACTAAAAAATAATTCCACCCAAAATCTGTCAATGCTTTTGAACCTACCACATAACCCAAGTTAGCAATAAATATGAAACGTCATTCATCCTCAACAGTGAGCTGAAAAGAATCCTTTAACTTGTCACACAGATCCACGCTTTACATTAAAATTCCTTACCATAATTTCAGCCTGAAAAGGACACTCACTCACACAGCAATATTTTATCACGAACAAATAACTCAAGTTTTCCACATTCAATTTGATACACAAATCTTTGACATACACAGCAACAACTTTGTAAACATTAAAGTAGGTATTTACTCTGTCTCCCCACTAAGACGAGTTGTAACACAAGGTCTTTTTTTAAGGTGGGGACCTGAGCGTGTACACCTAGGACAGGAATAAAAATTGCCAGCAGCTCCCGCAACTGTCAGTTGTGCTGGCCTCGGTGCGAACACTGATCTCTCTCTCTGGTGCAATGAGAGGACGCAGCCTCGGCCAGCTGTTCTCCAGGGCTGGGCACCTCTCAGCATAATTTTTCTCAGTTGCGACTTTATCCTTTGCTGGAGTCACCCCTGAGTGCACTCTGCCCAAAGAGAGATGATAAATAGATGTGTTACAAACCCCTTGAGGGAGGGGTTTATCGTAAACATTAAAGTAAGTCATGAACAATACTTCTCTACTTTAGTACAAAATTGAACTGTTTATTTTTACTTAAATTACAATTATACTCAAAGGCACTTTCTCGTTATTGTACAAACTGTTCAACGATCTATCAAATCAGAAGTTTGATAACACTTCAATCCAAACATAAAAGAACATTTGAACTTTTAAACTGCCTCTTTACTTCAGTTGTTTGTACCTCTTGGTTATATAAATATTTTATTCATTATTGTGCAAAAACTGTTGTTTCTCATGTTTGTTCTTATTCTATGCTTGTTGAATACTGAAATTTTAATGCGAGAGGAAATTGTTAATTTTATCACGCAACCTATTTATTCAACAATTATTGGTCTATATAATTTAATCAATTAACTCAACCGCTACAAGATAATATAGAGAACAAGACTGAAAGATGAATGGAAGTTTATTGATAAGATCATTAAATGGAATGCTAATCAAAATCTGAGAAATTGTAAGGATCATGTTAGAAGGTATTTAATTGCTTACTAAACTAAATCAATATTATGTAATTGTATAAATGTTTCTTTTCTTCTCTTTGTATTCCTTACTTTCTAGTCTTCTATTTTAATAGAGGTACACAATGTCACAACACTTTTGACAGAAATAAAAAGCTGGTTTTGTTGTGTATATATTGTGTGTGTGTGTTAACCTTTACAAATTTGAAAATAAAATAAAACTTGATTAAATATAAATTTTTTGAAATAATTAATATAAAAAAAAATAAATATTTTTGGTAAAAAAAAGAATTACAGATTTCACAGCATAATCAGGAAATGATTTTTATTTTTTCTATCTTCACATATTTAGTTTCAGAAAATGATGAAATTTTGGTATAGAAGTAATAAACTGTAAGATGGACAGAAATAAAAAAAGTCAAAACTATACTCTCCAGGTTCTAATTAATTTTTTTTCTGTTTTTGTTTTCAAGGGTTTTTTTTCTGCTTTCAGAATTTTTATATGTAATCATTAAGGTGAATGAGTTTGTTGAATAAATCCTACTCATAATATGAGTTCTATAAGTGACTGATTGCTAGAATAACTCTAACTCAGATTAACATCTGATTTTTGAAAACAATTGATATTTTGTATGTGAATGTCCTTGAGTAGACACATTCTGTCTTTGTATTCTATTTTGAATGTCTGTAATATGAAAACTGGTGAAGGTGACCCCAGTAAATAATTTTGTAAAAGTATTTGAGAAAAGCATTTGATATTTTAGAATTGTTTAAAATGTGCACCTCTTCTTTCTGATTACAATAATTGAAATGAAGACATTTTTGGAAAATGTATAATATAGTAAAACCTTTTATGAATGTGTTATGTACGATTACCTAATATTGAGTAATTATGGAAAAATTTGTTTTTGATTTGTTTTCAGATAAACAAAATGTAAGAGCTATAAAGAAACTGTTTCAGGAAAAAGAGATAATATCAGAACTACAGGAAAAGAACACTGGCTTTGCTAGCAGTCCTCAGAAAACTATGGCTGTTTCAGCAATACATAATAAGGAATGTAAATTTGAGAATGTTTTATGCTCAACAAAACTTTGTAGTGATATAGAGGAAAAGAGATTGGAAGAAATACAAGAGAAAATAAAAGAAGATTTTGATGATTATGGGAAAACCAACAAAGAAAATATTTTTTCTGAAAATGACATCATCAATGTTGAAAAAAGAAGCATAAAAAATGTTTTCATTGATTCAGATAGAAGTGCAATTCTATTGAATAAAACCAACTTGTCCCCATCTAAAACTTCATACATTTCTGAGACTAACTATTTAATATGTTCAAATCAACAAAACACTTCCATTCTTAATAAATTTGAATTTCAAGTAAATAAATTACCTGGCAATCCCCAGAAAAAAACTGCTACAACTTCAACCAAGTATATAAAATCTGTGAACCAAAATCTTCAAGACAGTCAAAAGATCTTGGGTTTAAAACGTCTGAAATACTCACTTGATTGCAATAATGATATGACAAATTTATACACGAAATGTGAAAAAAAAATCAATGCTCTAGATCAAGAAAATGTTAGATCTAATTTAGGTATCTCACCCTCCAAACAGATATTGGAAACTCATCTGAAAGATAATTGCAGACAAGTTTCATCAACAGACAATATATTGCTAAAACAAAGACCATCTCTGCAGAAAAATATGGTATATGCTTGTCCACCTAATGAATGTTTTCATTTAAATCCTGCCCAGCATATGGAACAAAAATTATCTAATAGTTCCTATGATAAAGCTGAATTATTTAATGAAAAGACTGCTAGAGATTCTCTCCTGGATTTCTCTGAAAATAATCTTGATCTCAGTTGTCCAATTTACATTGAAAATTCTGAGCACAGTTCAAAAAAGAATGTATTTAGCAATTTTCAGACAGATCAAATACTAGATCTTGCCAAAAGAAGCAATTCATCTACCACTCAATATGAAGAGGTAATTGAAATCAATGCCAACAGTAGCCTACCTGAAGAAATGGTATGGGCACAAAGTGTAAATGCTGTTAACAGATACAGTGTTAATGAGCATGATTTTGTAACTGCTACAAAATCTGATGCCAACAATTCTCATTGCTTTACAGGTTTCTTTGAGACAATTCAAGCAAGCAAGCAAGAACATTCTGATGAGCAATTGAATCTTGAAGAAGACAATTTGGAATTCACTCTTCATTCACAGCGAAGCATTGATGAGGAAATCCCTCATGAATTTATACAAGAAAATGATAATTTCACATTTAACTCTGACTTTATATAGACTTGATTATAAAGAGATTTAAAATTATGCAATCATTTAATATCTTAAATGTTGAGACATTTTTTTTTTTTTATTTAAAAAAGGTTTCTTCAATATTTGTTTATACAAGCATAAATGAGATGAATTCAATATAATATTAATGCAAAATAACTAAATTCTCAGCATAGATTAAATATTTAGATGTTATTATCAATAAACTTTGTTTTTAAAAATCTTCATATTCTATTGTTAATTTAGATATTGATCTTTAAGTTATTTTGTCATTATTTCCTTTTGATATAAAATTACTCTCCTCTTTGAATATTTTTTGACTGTGGTCATCATTTAATATTTTATGATTCTAGGTATTTGCCAAAATTACTAGTGTTGGTTGGTAAGTAATGCCTCAAATCTTCTTAAATAATGAATCAGGTATGAGAATGAAGTAAAAATTGTTTCTTAACAATTTTCAACATTTAGTGCTGTAAATTTCAAAAACATTCTTCCACTTTTACATTCAATCCAAGAGGAAAATTTTGGGTTTGTTTGATTCAATTTTGCACAGCAACTTCATCTTTGGCATCAGTTAAAGTTGACCTTTTAATTCCTGTTTCAATCTCAAGAAATAGCAGAATTTTGATGGTGTCAAATTAGGCCTGCATGGAAGAAGATATGGACAACAGAAATTTGAGTTTCTCAATATTTGATTCATTTGTTGACTTGCAATACAGTTTTGCATTTTTGTAATTCAATAAAGAAAAGGTCATTCTGTCTTTCCTGCAGACGTATTATTTAAGTACTTGAAGGCATTGATTTCATTTGTGAATTTTCATTACTATGCAACTTTCTAATGCCAAAAAGTTACATTGATGATCAGACATAGTACTTATGATTAATGGACATTTTTGCTCAATACTGTCACTCAAAAACTGACACTGAGTTTGTTAGAATTGAACTTTATATACTATTGAATACATATTAAAACTTTTCTTTTTTTGAGGAAGGAAAAACAATATCGATTTCAAGTCGAATGTCTTATTTTAAGTTTAAATTTTAAAATATTCCAAAAATATAGTTAATTGAATTATGAAAATTGAATTGTGAAAATTTTGGTTAAAATAGAAATATTTTCATTATCCATTAACAGAAATCAAATTTGTTCGTCAAATATAACATTATAATTACAAGTGACCCTGTGCATTCTAATATATATAATTTTCCATATTTTTGTTAAGAGACTTTTTATCAATGCAAGTCAGTATTTGCAATTTAGTTTTTTAATGTGAAAATTATCAACTGATGCAATAATTTGCATAGCTGAAAGGGAAAGAAATATAAATTTGTTTGATATTCAGATCCAGATATCAAAATAAAACAAAAATAAAAATAGCAAATTATGAAATTTAGCCATGGTGAATATGTAATTAAAAACTCCTTTAAAAATACTGATGTTATGAACTTTCATTGTATCGGCTGATCTTTGCTGGCACTTCTATCTCTCAAGCAATATCCTTGAATTCTGAGTTTATCACTTGTAATTTGCTCATTAACAGTTCCCATGGGATGTTAAAGTCTACCAATCAAATTATCTGAAAAACATGGATGCCTTTAATGTCACTTTATCATTAGTTTAACTTCCTTTCACCGAGGTTAGTCTGATCATTTTATAGTTTTTGTGTATTTTTTATATGTTTCTTTGGTGCATTTTCAGTAATGTGCCTTCATGCTTCTGTAAGTATTGTATGAATTTTTTGTTGTGAAATATATTTGTTTGTTCTTAAGCTGAAATTGTATTGAAGCTAGGTTGTTTGGTTTTATAGATAAGGATTCTAAATTATAGTTGCCATTGTTTGTAAAGAAAAAAAAAAAAACCTTTAAGTTTGTAATGAAGCTTTGTTCAGTGCAATTTGACTACTGGCCAAATGTGAAGCTTGACCATTACTTTTATAGTCAGGTAAGTTCCAGGGGGAGACAACTCTGATTGCCTTCACCACATTATTTTTGACTCGTTTTTCCTCTTATTTTGTTGGTTTTTGTCATAATACTCATTTCAGTTTGGCATTTCTTCAATGATTTAATAAGCAGCAACAATTAGAAATATTTGTTTTAAATGAGATGAAATTTCATCACTTATCCTTGAAACTAAAATTTTAGTATTCAATTAAAACCATTTCAGCCTCTTATTAATCCTTATAAATTGTTTTAAAAATTTTGTCCTCAAAGATTTTTAAGTTTTTAGCCATTTTATTAAGATAAACTCGTTTTGTGTTAGATGTAACATTTTTATGTATTTATTTGGCCTAATTTCCTCAAGAATGTTGGAGGGTTTAATTTTGTAATAAAGAATCAGACACAAAAATGGAACATCATATCACTGCTGTTTTGACTTGAAAAGCACACTGTCAGTCAGTGTGATTTCTCATCTTCAACATCTTTGTAAATAACTTTTGTCAGTCCTATCCAAATTTCTTAGCATTGCTTTATGAGGAGAATATTGCCCATCTAATCGAAGCATATGTCCAAAGAATTTCCATTGTAAGCAGATGATGAAAAGTGATAGCAAATATGTTTGGCATCTTTTGTATAAGTTAGAATTAGTGATGATGTGAGAGAATCTTTTTCCAATTAGGTATTTTAAGTGTTTTTGATGGAATGAATCCAGTTTTTCATCATCCTTCCCAAAGAAATTGAAAGGAAAGAGGAAAAGTAAATTACAAAAATTGAAATGAAGTCGTACAATTGTATGTCAGTACTAGTTTTGCTATCATGTTGCACAGTTTTAATTGGGGTTTTCATTTAAACTATCTTGTCTAATCCACACCATCTTCAAATTATTCATACTTGCGATTGTCAACTGTATACATCTGATAATATCCTCAGCATCTCTGAATAAAGTTTCTACTTTCTTAACATTTCTCCACCCTTTTATTTTTATAGTTCCTCTCTTCAATATTGTATACTCGGTTTTATCCTGGCTTACCTCCAGGTTTCTAGTCAAATATACTGTCTCAGCTGCATTCAAATCCACTTCTTCCTTTCATTGTCTGATAGCCTATATCATCTGCATACATCAGGTATACTTGTTTTAGCAATTTGTCAGTATGAATGTTCTATATGGGGTGTACTTGTTGATTTAATTTCTCATTGTACTAAGACTGTCCTCACAGTATATATTGAAGAGAATGCCATCTAAACTATTACTTTGTGGAGATTCTAGGTTGCATTACAACTTTTCATTTTCAACACCTCTAATGCCTTTGTAAGGGGAAATGACCAGTTGATTTAAAAGCAGTTACTTCCCATTGATTACGAGTTTTCCTCTAGTTGCTTTAGCAAGTGAATTTTACATGTTAGATTTGATGTAAAAGCTTATTTACTAAGATTTTCATGAAAAGTAAGGATTGAATATTTTGATCTAAATATAATTTTGAAATAGTTAATTCTTATACAAATTTATTTTCTTTTCTTTTTGTTTCTTCCAGATTTATCCAAAAAATTGTTTATTGATCAATTTTTAAATAAATATGGCAACAATTCAATCATGAAGTAATTAAAAAATAAATTGCAAAATAATAAATTCAATGTAAGATGGCACTTCATTAACCATTTCATTGTAAGTCTCTCCATTTCATTTCTTGCAACTTAGTTTTCCTCTTTCCTTTCAATTTGTTCAGGCTCTGCCTTTTTAAGCCATTGTGAAAAATCTATCACATTCATATTGTGTATTTATCAGTATAGATATAATGAATGATAAATATCAAGTTAGTTTCTTGCAAACTCTGTCTTCTTTCAAGTGAGTATGTCCAATACAAAAAACTTATTGTTATAATCTTTAACTGGGTATGTTTGATTTTGTTGGCTCTGTAATTGCACTATGTTTCCTTACAACATTTCAAGTTTGTCTTTATTCACTTAAACAGTCACACTATTTATTAATTGCTTAAACATAATGCAGTGATACAAATATTCATTACTCAACATGGCTATTTAGCTCATCAGTAACACACAACATATGAACATCCACCATGTATCAAAGAAGTAAGTTTAAGCATCCATTAACAAACTCAACATCACAGTATAGAATTTTATTCTTACTCAAAGATAATTGAACTTGATGAATGAAAACTACACTTATATGATAGTTATCAATATGCAATAAGTTTAATAAACTCTACTGTTATTGACATACTGTAGATTCTTTTTTTTATTTCACTTGTTAACCTTTTGATATGTTATTATTTAGATGTCCATTAAACCACTTACCTGTCAACCAGAATTTCACATTATTCATGTCAACTACAAAGGGTGAAGCAGGTAGAAACAGTTAAGAATATGCCTGATCACATTCACCTCAAACATCTACTATTAAATATGTTAGGAGCATAAACTTAACATTTTACAAAACAAACATTGTAGTGAGACTTACAATCTTTTAAATCAGGAATCAGAAACAAATATATAGATTCGTATACAACGTGCATTTCCATTGAATGCTTTGCTTTGGTTGTTACTATATTTGTTGACTCCATCTGATGTGTGTGTGTGTTTCTATGTTTTTGTCTGTCATTATAAACCATCAGGAGATGATTTTTGTTTTTTTTTTTGTGTGTGAATGTTTTACATGCTTCATGGGAAGATTGCAGAATTAAATAAAGCTCGACCACAAGAAAAAATAAAAGAAAAACATCATAGTTCTGTGTTAGTGATTTTAATTTTCTTTATTGTTGCCACAAACAGAGAAAGAAACAATAGAAAGCAGTAACGGTAGGACATAACAAAAACATAGTGGATGGTAAGTTAATGACTTAGTAAAAAGCACTATGGCAATATTACCCACAAAATAGATTATATAGAGAACAAGACTGAAAGGTAAATGGAAGTTTATTGTTAAGAATGCTAATCAAAATCTGAGAAATTGTGAGGATCATGTTAGAAAGTATTTAATTGCTTACTAAACTAAATCAATATTAAATTATGTAATTGTATAAATGTTTTTTTTCTTCTTTTCTTTGTATTTTTTACTTTCTTGTTTTCTATTTTAATAGAGGCACACAATGTCACAACACTTGTGACAGAAATAAAAACTTTACTGAATATGTATTGAAACATATTTCTTTTTTCCACTAGTCCTGATGCCATGTACTAAGTTAAGTCTAAAACTTTAGAAGTAGTCATAATGTTGCAAGAGAGATCAAAGCCAGAGTTGATTGATAAATTAATGTCTTCTTTCACTGTTGCAGTTAGGCTATCCATTTATCTAACTGATGGACTTAGCAACAAAAATTGGAGTGAGCAGCAACATCATATGACCCAAGTTCATACCTCTTTTTTATTGCATCCATAACAAGTGAACATACATGACAAACACAGTCCTATACCCTCGAATATCTTGCTGGTTTCTGCTTACAATGTAAAAATAAAGTGCTCTGGACAGACTGTGCAACAAAAAACCTTAGGAGAAATTTTGCATGGACATTTATTGTGGCTAACACTATGAAGCCACTTTAGGGATATGACATTCTAAGTCACTATGGACTAATAATAGATTGTAAAAATAAGTTGATCAACACAATTATCAATAGGCAATGTGACACCAAGCTGTCAACTTGTATTTAACATGTTTCAAGCCATGAAGGCTGAAAATGCAAAGGGAACTTTACAAAACATGATGGAATACTACCCTAATCCCTAATGCAAAAAAATTAAAAGTACTTCACAGAATTGAAAGAAGGAGCAATCCTCCTGTATTTACGAAAGTGTGACAGTAGTCAAAGCAAAAGTTTGATATAGCCAAGGAAGAATTTAAAAAGCTTTGGCAAGCTGGCATAATTTCCCTTTCCAAGTCAGAGTGGAGTTTGGTCCTCCACAAGTCTCCTCCTGAGATACCCTTACTAATCAAGTTAATACAATACAATAATAATAATACAATTATCTTCATGATAAAAGGTACAAAATAAATTAGGATTATCTGATAATCCAAAAATATGACTCCTGTTGTATGAAATAGACTGAATACAAAGAAATTTGACTCTTGAAGTATGAGTAGGTACTGAAAATTTCTTGGCTTGATATAAAAGGATTAAAAATATTCTTATATTTTATTATTTGATCTTCAGTAAAATAGCCATAGCTTTTTATTTCTATCACAGAAAGAGAATGACAACAAAATGAAAGTTATTTGTCTATTTTCTTCAAACAACAAAAATTAAATTGTAGTTGTTGAGGCTAGTTTTCATGTTGGTCATGACTTAGTAACTCAAATGAATTTATTTAGTCAGTAAAGGTCTATAAGTGCATCAGATTTTCTCTTTGCTCAATTTGTCATTCATAGTTTATGATAATCATTGTTATCATTCATTCCAAAACTAAATTATACGCACATTGTTTACATATTGGGGAGATTTTAGTCTGTTTAAAGGGACCTGTCATTACTAAGATGGTGTAAGGTTTTAGTATATTGTCAGTGACCAGTTATTATTTACATATTGGGAGATTTTACTATGTTGATGTGGACCTGTTATTTGTTTATTCTTTTTATCTAGCCAGTTCAGCCCTTACCAGCTTTACTTGTCTATTTCTAAATTTTCTTTTACACAATTCTGTGCTTAAAGTATTTGAGAAACATTTTTAATACTTTACAAAATTCAAACAAGAAATTTAAAGTTGTGTTATTCTACTTGGGTAGATTTATTATCACCTATGAAAAGTTATTTTATTTCTACTTTCAAATTCTTAAAATATGACCCCCAAAATAGGCATACTCCACATATGATTTTATATTCACATACCAATGTAGTTTGCAAGAAAAAAAAAAAACATGACTTGTGTTCACCTCATTATTATATTAGAGAATGTAACTAGAAAACTTGAAATGTATAAGTGATGAGAACCAGGTCAGGTTGAAGGTCGCTCTTGTATTTCAAAGACAATCTGATGTATACTTATATATTTGTGTATGTGAATATATAGTGGTATGGGACTTAGAGGTCAAAATGAACAGCTGATTTACCCATGCCAGGAAGATTAATGAAGGATGATAATAACAAGGAAACACACTGGTAATTTTTAGCAAAACAAGTTAAAGAATTTATTCACAAATTTACAAGCTTTAAGTAGTGCCAGAAGCTCGTTTCAGGAAACTAAACCAGAATTCTTAAAGTTCATACTTTTAATGTATTGTCATGAAAAGGAAATGTTCATACAATAGGTTAAATGAGCTGACACGAAATAATATTAAAAATGTTTAAGACAAAGATAAAAGAGTTTGTTGTTCACTAAAGGGATATATGGTTTGCATATGTTCAAAAGTAGACAGAGATAGTCTATATTTCTGAGATGAGGTATTATGTACAGTATTTACATTAGTCAGACTATTGTCCTCATGTTTGTCGCCATATTTGTCACAACGTTTCAGCCGTTGTACACTCCGGCCTTCTTCAGGTGGTTGGAATTTCGAACTGAACCCTTTATTTCGATCACTGGGGTAGACTGTTCTAGTGCCACATGCCATGTTTGATGGATGTCAGTTATCAGTTATCTCCTGCCAATTTTCTCTCTGAAAGCTCTCCACTGCCTTAACCAGGTATTGAACTCACCTTCTTTTTGGGTCTGTCACTGGATCTAACCAATGCCTTTATCCACTGTGCCTTTATCCTTGAGGACATCTGGGTATGAACTTCTGAGTATTATAAACCTAATGTTTTCAGCATCATTTTTACCAGTGCTCATATTGCAATTTTTGCTGTTATCATTATATGTCTTTACCAGAGTTCATATTGCAACTTTGTTATCATTGCTTTTCTCTGGCACTCCTTATTACTGGTTCCCATATTGTATTTATTTCTATGCTTGGTCGGCTCAGGAGATTTTTGTGGCCTAGCATATGTGCTGATTCCTTAAGTTTACGAATTTTAAAAGGGAAAATAATAATGCCATCCGACTGCTTTCCATCACCACGGTCGAGGCCTACTGGTCCATTTTGGGAAGGGAACCCA